ATGGAGGAAATGATTCCTCTGTGTTGACCCTCCTCTTTATAGACTGGACACTGGCTCAAGTCCATCTGGCGGGGTCTCCTCGGCTTCCTTGATCAAGAGGCCAGATGACCCACCATCAGGTGGTATTTTTATTAACATATTTCTCATTGAATGATTCCCTGGGCCATCACTTACAAAATAATTACAAACAATGCTTATCACTTTTTACTTTGTTATGTAATAATTTTTCTTTCATGTTTTTCAAGTTTATCAGAATATATGTTTTTGAACGATAATGTTATATATGTGTCTGTACATTTTTACATCTATATGTATATGCTTTTTGTGATTGACATTGCTTCCACTGATTCATGGGGTTGCTGTTTTCAGTCCTTGAATTTCAGCAGGGCATTGACCATCTTGACCAATGGAGTACAGGGAAATTGATGGTCTGTGATTTCTGAGGCTGAGTCATAAAAGGTACAGCTTATTTCTGGCACATACTTCAGCATTCACCCTTGGAACTCAACTACTATGTTGTGAGGAAACCCAGACCACATGATGAGACCAAATGAGGAAGTTCCAGTTAACCCCAACTAAAGTCTCCTCTGACAGCTACCATCAACCATTAATCAAGTGAGCAAGCAAGCTAGACAATTCTAGCCATGAGCCTTTGGATCTTCTGGCCAAGGACCCTGGACACCATAAAGCAGATTCATGAACTCCTGATACAGCACTAAGATTTGTGGTAGTTTCTTCCAAAACTTTGTTAATGAGAAGCTTATGCTATATATCTAGGAGGAGGAGCAGCTGCTCTATGGCTGTGCTCTCAGAGTGCCTTGTACTTAACAAACAAAGGCAGGCAGGTAGGTACAGGCAAAAAAAAGACTAACTGACTTAGTCCTGAAGGGATGGCTCAACAGTTAACAGCACTTGCTGCTCTTGTAAGAGGACCCAGGTTTGGTTCCCAGCACTCACATGACAGGTAACAATGGTTTATAACTATGGTTCTATGGGGATCTGATGCCCACTTCTGGTCTCTGTGGGCATTGCACTCATGTGGCACACTTAGATATGCACGGGCACAACACTCATACATAGAATAAAAATAATTTTTTTTAACACAATCAGGGCTCTCAGGCCTGCCTCAATAAGCAGCCATGGACTTCAGGTCCAGTCCTGGCTGCTTTTCCCTGTGGCATGCTGAACTCACATAGTTCCTAATCAAACATGGCTGCCTCTCCTTGCCGCCACCCTTCAACTCTGTCTCAGACTGTTGGCTATTTTCCTTCTGTTTGAAACCATATTGATGGCTTTCCTAAGTCTGATGAGAGGAGAAACTTGTTCATGGAAAGTACTGTAAGGGCATATTTTGTTTGTTTGTTGTTGTTCTTGTTGTCTTTGATGTTGATGCTTACTCCTTTTCTTTTTGCCCACGATTACTTCCTTTCCTTTACATGATTAAGAAAGTAGAATTTGAGATCTTTTAGGTAGAAACATACTTCTCACCACATTTCACTAGTCAGCACCTCTGAATCTGGCTCTTCCATACTCTAAAAATTTCCCCTTAGATTAGTTGAATGAGTTTACAGCTGACACATCATTACCCTGAAACTCCTGCAAGTTCCTTGCAAGTAAAGCTAATCACACTTTTTGAAGACTCCTATAAACTAGTCACAGAAGGCTGTAAATTAGGAGGGGAAAGGCAGGAGGAAGAAGTTGCTTATACATCAATACATTAAACTTCTTCCTGAAAGGTCATTCTTTAACTTGCTCATTTCCTAAGGAACAGAGGACTCTGCACCAGGGCTAGCCCATTCCACATGGGCTTCAGGTGATGATTTACCCACATTTGTTAAGATAGCTCAGAATGCATCCTCGCTAGCCTATCATGAATACTTTTCCTATACATTTTCCTTTTATCATAAACTCAACACTCATAACCTAGTGTAAACTAACAATAAACTAACACTAAAGGGAATATTTTACTTTTACTTCAGAATATAGTTTATTAAAACTAAATATGAATTTGGCAGTATTTTTTTGGAAAGGAGTAACTCAAGTTTAAGACTGTGTGAACCTATATAGGGATATGTCTTGATAGTAACATAACCAATGGAATGAGTGTGGGGCTTTATACCACTAAAATTTACTGTTTAATCTCTTCTTAACTGAGTGTGATTAAAAGTCATGATTCTATTTACTAGCTGATTCTTAGCCATGGTTATGTTATGAAATTGTTACAGTTTGTGACACAGTAGCTTGTTAACAATAACATTAATGAGTCATAATGACAGCAGTCCTCAGGTCTGCTTTATTTGCTAGATTTGTTCTCCCCCCACTTCTCTCCTGTAGCCCCCAGATGACTCTTCAGTCACATCTTGTATCCTCAATAAGCTCTTTCCATGTATGACTTGGAACAAGGAGAGCGGCATATGTTAAATTCCCATCCATGAAATTAGCACACTGCCCTCCCTGAAGGTGAGAACA